AAGACATATTGTAAACACCATGAACATTCTCCCATGACCCTCCAAAACACAAATCTATCCAACATGATCAACATTAGATGATTCATTATTGTAAATTAATTTACTAAATAAACGAGCTGCGAAACTAAAACCTGTTGCCGGATGGGGAAGGATGTCGTTGGATATATGACGATTCGCCGGAGAGATGATGGAGACGGAATGAGTTGCGATTTAGGAATTTAGGTTATAAGTTGTTGCTGCTGCGTAGTTATACCCAAAACATTGTGTGTTGCGAAACAAAACCTGTTGCGAATTTGAAATTCAGCGTTGCGACGGTCAGAATCGCGTTGCGATTATGTATTTACGCGTTGCGACAGTCAGAACGCGTTGCGATTATGTATTATCGCGTTGCGACAGTCAGAATCACGTTGATTATGTATTATCACGTTGCGATAGTCAGAATCGTATTGCAAATCTGGAAACTTTGCGATACTGGAGATCGCGTTGCGATTTAGAGATCGCATTGCGATTTTGTTGGTCATTTTGGCAAATCAAAAAAAATTGGTTAAAATCGTATATTATAAGAAATTTTCGGTCACTGAGGTATTTTCTCTTTAATTAGAGTACTAGTAATGTTTGGTCAAAAGTAAATTTTCAATGTTCTTACCCAATATAACAAAGGGGTAAAAAGTCGTGCTGGACGGTTCCTATTTCTGGTGTGGACATTGTTTGTTACTCTACATATGTATTTGTTCCAAATAACAAGTAGAGTGGTAGATTTTGAAATTGTTAATATTTTTAAAAGATGATTAGGTATGGTCCTTTCATAAATTTAGTAAAGTTTGGATTAATTTAAATTTATAAATTTAAATCATTCTTAAAAAGTTTACTAAATATTATTATCTTAGATTGATTTCGATCAAATTTTTTATTTTAAACTTTTTTAAATTTATAAATTTAAATTCAAACTTTACTAATTTATGAAAGGACCATACCTAATCATTCTTTTTAAAAAAATTACCAATTTCAAAATTCTACCAGCTCTACTTGTTTATTTAGTAACTTTACTAAATTTAAGAATGATTTAAATATAAATTTAATTAGTAAATTATAAAATAGACATTAAACTTTGAACTTTGTAAAAAATAAATAGCAATTGTCAAATGTATTAAGGGTGAATAACATACTAATGAAAAATATCTTATTTAACTCCTAAATTATAACTAAAATTTCATTTTAATATTTTTCAACATTTTTTAAAGAGTAATTTTAAGAAAATTAGTACTTTAGAATTTTTTAAAAATATATAAAATAAATTATTTCAAAATAAAAAAATATTTTCAACAAAATTCAGTTACCAAACAATGAAATTAATTTTTTTTAAACAAAAAAATTTTTCATAACTAATTATTTTTTAATTGTTGTTGTATTTTTAAATAAAGAAATTATAATTTTTGATTTCTAAAATTTATATTATTGAATAATAAATTATTATTTTATTAATGATGTGATTTAAGCATTTAACTTTATTTAACAAATTTAAATGTAATTTAAAAATCTTACATCCATAATTTTATAATAACATAAAATAATTTTTAATTTATACAATACAAATTTAATATTTATATATAAAATAAAAGATGATATTTATTTTATCTATATCTATTTTATTTTCAATTCACGAACCTAATAAGAGTTATTTCAATTAAATTAGAGTAAATTAAATTTTAATTATAATTGAAGGGTCAATGAGATATTCTTAATAGTGTTGTGCCTATTTTGTAACAAAATTAAATTTATATTCATTATGTATCTTTTAAAAGTTAAGTGTTCAAAGAGATAATTTTGACATAGTTTAATGACCATTTGTAAATTTTACTCTATAAAATTAATGGTGAATTACAATAAAACAACAACCATACTAAATTCTCCAACATCTATGTATTTATTGTAGTAATAACAAAACTATCACGCGGATCTTACATGAACATCAAACAGGTATTATCAAAATACTTAATCAAATGGTTTAATTGATATTTTTTATTTTTTTAAATTAAAATTAATTTATAATTATATAAATATTAAGGATATATTCATAATATACAACTGAGTTAAAATAATAGAAATGAACTATTTGGTAACTTTAATTAGTTAGTGACATTTTAAAAATTTATAATCAGATAACCGAAATAAAAATAATCATATAGTTGAAGGATTAGTTTTGTGTTTTAGCCATATCTTAATTACTACTTGAAACCGAAGTAACAGAACACCAAACTAAAGCGTGGGAATTCACCACCTCAAAATATGACAGTGCCGCTAGATGTTCCTGACCCCAACTTCACGCGCTCTTTTCTTCCCTATATTTTTTTTGACAAACCTTTTCTTCCCCTATAAGGGAAAGAAAACGAGGGAAAATATAAGGAAAGAAAACGAGAAAGTGAAAGTAAAAAAAAACAAGGAAAAGAAAAGAGGGACGACAAAGGAATCGTTGTCGGCGCCCAATGCTTCCGCCGACCAATATTCACCTCATTATCTCTTCCACTTCCACACACTCTCTCTCCCTCTATTAAATTCATTTCTTTCCCCTCGTCTTGAAACTTTTTTAAAACCCTAACCCTTTTTCCCTTCATTTTTTAAATCTTTTTTTTACTTGTTCGGTCCCTTCCTATATTTATTTTTTAAACTCATTGGAAGTTGTCCGAGTTTTATTTGATCTAGGGTTTTAGTTTTTTTGTGACTTTTTTTTGAAGTTTTAATCAAGAAATTATGAAGGGAGGTAGCGGTGTGGCAGAGCCATCTGTGGTTCTTGAGAGGGTTGAGGATGCTGATAAGGAGAAGAAGAAAAAACGACGATCCAAACATAACTCGGGTATTATCTTATTCCTGACACTAAATTTTCGTGTGAAATCTTTAATTTGTCAATTGAAATTAATTTATTTTTGTGAGTTACTGGTATTTCTTAGAATTGAGTAGGTTTTTTCTGTTCTTCTACTAGGCTATTCTATAATTATAGTGAATCTCGTATGTTTTAACATTAATGGGTGTTTCTTTAAGTATAGACTTTAGTTTCTACTGGGTAGTCCTTGAACTGTGGTGGATTCCTTTTACGGTATTGAAGTTTGCTATTCAACGGTTAGTATTTTTTTTATGTTATTGAACTGGATCTGATTTTGGCTTCATAATTTTAATCTTTGTGGGGATATAGCGTGTAATTCATGAATGATGCACGAGGAGGAACATCAGATGTTTTAAAAGTGAGGACGTCCAGCCAGATAAAGCAATGCAATGTCGGAGGAGAAACATTAAAAAACTGTCCACCGCCCTTCTCACGGAACCGTACGTGACGTTACCGCTCATACAGCTCCCCGTAATCGATTTAAGGTCATTTACATCCGAGTCTAAAATAGGGTGCAGGTTCCCGATCTTAGCCGATCTATGGTTATCCGCCCTTCGGCCACATTTCGGGGCACAAAATTCTTACTTTTATGTCCCACTAAACTACACTTGTACGCTTGACATGAAAAGTAGAGGCAAGCAGAACTTTGACTCAGGAAGATGCGTAACTCGCGCTCGTCTCGTATTTCATCCAATTTTAGATTTTTTATGTAAAGCAGCGATAATGTTTAAAGAGATTCCAGACTAGAAGTTGCTCGACCTGGATGGAGAGAACGGCCTGGCTGACATTGATAGAGGTCGTCCTTTTTGGTCTCATGTCCCACCCCTCGTAGTCTCTGAAGGATGAGAACCAACTATGTAGTCTTGCAACTCATCTCTTAGCATCCTTCCGTTTTTCAAATTGCTAAACAAGATCGGATGTACGAAGAACTGAAAGCACATGGCACATCTTATCACGGATTGGAGAAGCGATATATTGAATTGTTTTTTTTCCTCGAGCCTCGAAGGTCTTGACGAAATTTTTTATATTTCTAATGGATTGGGCGTAGCTTAATTTTACATCTTTCTTTTTAGCTAGGATACACTCCTTTATACAAGACTTTTCTAGTTCTTGTTAGTGATCCGGGAACAACACTTAATGTGGGAGAAGGTTACATTTTAAAAAATACAATTCACATGTAATCGCCCATCTAATAAAACTAGTAATAAATATGCACCTAATTCTTGTAATTTGTATTTTTTTGGATGAATATATACGGTTTAGTGACAAGTTCATCAATTTTATTTCTGTGTTTGTTTCTCAATTGTTACCTTGATGTTCAACCCATTTGCAGAAAAGGGAAGCTTTCAAAGCATTGTCTCAGTGAATGCTCATAACCAACTCGAGGTTTGTGGTTACTTAACTTTGTTTGTTTTATGATGAAACTCACATGATAAATCTTGTATGTTGAAATGGGAGTCTGTGATATACTGCTAGGCATATTGCAAAATCGATGGGTACATACGGATGTTATTGTCAGTGGAATTTCTTAACAGAATAGAGTTGTAAGTATGAGATTCTCAGGGTTTATGTTCGTTATGTTATTGCAAATGCTAATGCTTCTTTATATGTAGGCTAGCCTATTAGTCTATATTGGGATGAATCTAATAATTGCCAATATATTTATCCTTTTTATAGGTTGAGGCCCTTCTAATCGTTTAGGATTCACCCCGCATCGTTCAAAATCTACATTCCATGCTATGTAGATATTGGTAAACCCCCTCTTGTGTCCGTATACTGGATCAGATATGACTTTCGTATCGATTACCAGCCAGTACCATTCCTTAGCACGAGATATGCACACTATCGGACATAGTTAAGGATAATATAGTTTGGGCTAAGACCGCAGTTGATTTTATTTACATGAACGGAGCAAGGGGTGTTTCATCGATATGCAAAATCGACCATACACATTTGTTTCTTGAGCGGTCTTGGTGGGGTGTTTTATTAGGAGTTGAAGATAATGATTATTTCGAATGGGGTAAGTATTATATTCTTTTATATTAATTTTTAGTATTTTTTAATTTATTAAATTTATTAAATATGTATTTTTTTATAAAATATCATATTGGTGCATGGGTAACACGACTTCTGATTTTAAGGAAATTGAAGAAACTCAAATAGACATGATGAACTATTATGTTTTCGTCTTTTCACTCAACTCACTTGCAGGATCAGAGATATGCTTCTTATGCATTAGGTAATGAGAAAGCTATCATTTATTCTGAGTGGTGGGAAGTCGATAAAGTTAATATTTATTTTTGCATATTTAAAGGTGTTCATCAAATTTAGTTGATGTGCGCAGTTAAAGTATTATTTATTTAATATTGCATGTGTTTATCCCTGTTATGAAACGTCATTGGTTTCTCGTCGAGCTTCAGCTCCCATAACTGAAGACGGTAGTATATGAAACCTGTTTGAATTACATACTATTGTCTGCTTTGAAAGATATTATTTGTAGGGGATGGACTGATCTTTTGCGTAAATACTTGGATGCGATTATTTATTGGATTAATTCAGGAAACGAGAAGCCGAATAAGTTAATTGTTACAATGATGAGAGACGAGACAACGCCACAACAAGCGTCAATAGTCAGAGGGGATTGTGGTCCGTTTGTATGCATGTGCATGGAATGTATGACGAGAGGAGGCAAACCGTTTCTACCTCTGAGAGATAGAGATAGAGGTGTAGTAGGTTGTGATTTCGGTATTTTATGACTAGAGAGATATATGCGAGACGTTGCCTACATGCATCAAGTGCTTAATATATAACAACAATTGGTAAGTTATAAATCGTATAAGGATTGATCACATGTCAAAACTTGGTCTTTACAGATGTCATATGATGTTCCTTCTTAAATCTCTTTTCCTAGTTTCTTACTAGATACTTGGTATACGTGGCTTTATTATATGTTTGAAAGTGTTTCTTTTACCAAAAGTGCAATTTGTTTGAGTCATCGTTTTCTTCTCTTTAGATGCACAATTTTTAGTATGGAAGTTGGCAGGCCTTTGTTAGTGATGGTTGTATTTGTGCTAACTTTTTGATTCCATCTTTGTTGTTTATTGATTCCCCTGCTAATATAATGTTATTAAAAGAACTTTTGTTTTTGGTTCTGAGTGTAATATTATGCTAATCTTGCTCTCTTGCACACAGTGGTTTGTTTGGGAAGCTTGCCAAGATCTTACTTTGATGATTTTGGTGGTAGCTGTTGTGGCTTCTCTGGCTTTGGGTATAAAGGCAGAGGTGAGGCTTCATAAATAAGACTTTCCAACTTTCATCTTGACATAGGTTCACAAGGATTTTTTGAAATCATAAACAATCTCTTCAGTTCCAAAAACTAGATGAAGAAATGAGAAACATACACTTGGAGGTTGGTATCCACTTTACCATTGAATTGAGTATGAACAATATGCTTCTAGAATTTATGCTTGAATGCAACATGTCAGGTTGTTAGAGGAGGTAGAAGAGTTGAAATTTCAATATACGATATTGTTGGTGATGTTGTACCCCTCAATATTGGTGATCATGTATGTGGCTTTATCAAGTTCTTTTTACATTGGTTTATTTTGAATGCATTTTTTTGAAGTTCTAAATCTGCTCTTTAGGTCCCTGCTGATGGAATTTTAATCTTCGGTCATTCACTTGCACTAGATGAATCTAGCATGACATGAGAGAGTGATATTGTAAGCTTTACTACCTGTCGTGCTATTCAATGAAATTCGTACACTTGCAATTTTTGAAATTATTATTTGATCTTGACATAGGTTCACAAGGATGCCAAACGACATTTTCTAATGTCTGGCTGCAAAGTAACGTATGGAAATGGGACTATACTGGTAATCTTTGTTGTTTTACCTAATCTTTAAATCATTTTATTGTGTTTTTACGAAAATTATCCTGTTCCAGTTCCCACATACAATTTTCACCCTGAATCTGAAAGTTATTAAACTCAATTCCGGAAACTCTTCTGTTATCTCAACCAACTTTATGTTTTTGTGTACATGGGCTCCTTTTTTGATAATTTGCTTACCACATTTTAATTCGAAACATTTATGTTGTAGTTTTCACTTTCTTCTTTTAGAATCAAATGTTTTGATGCAGATGAGAAATTTTAGTACTAGACTGTTACGGTCTTCTCTCTTTCTCTCTGTTTTCTTTTTTTCCCTATACTTTTTGAACTGCATATTGAAACCTTGCATCTTTTTGTAGCTCAGCTGTGATTATGTTTTAATTCTCAAGTACAGGGGTTGGGATTAATACTGAGTGGGGTTTGCTCATGTCTAATCTTTCAGAAGACATGGTAAAGAACTCCCTTGTAGGTTTCTTTTTCCCATGACAACAATTGGTTAAATTTTAGGCTTTACTTGTTATCTTTACCTCAATTAATTTTTTTAGGTACGATTGAATGGGGTTGCGACTTTCATTGGTTTTGTTGGACTCAATGTTGCTTTTGTTGTTTTGGTTGTCCTTTTAGTTAGGTAACTTTTGGCTTAATGACAATATCTTTTGCTTCTCCGCCTTTTGTTTTCAGTCACTCTGCTATTTGGTATGTTCTTAAGGTTCTTTCAATGACTTAGGTACTTCACCGACCATACCGAAGACCCAAATGAAAGAAAAGAGTTTGTTGCAGGCAAACAAGTGTCGTCGTGCTGTAGATGGAGCCATTAAGATTGTCACTGTTGCAGTATGTGCTCCTTATCTATCACCCTTTGTCCAATTGATTGTCTTATGTGCACGCTTAAGGGGATATTTGTTTTCTTATGTCTTGACATTTTGAACTTTATAAGCCACCTTAACGGGTCCAAATCGAGATGCAATGGAACTAAGAGCTATTTCTTTCTTGAATTCAAGAGGTGAAAACTCATGTTGAAAACCCAGATTTGTATTTGTTAATAAATGTAAACCAAACCAAACCTGAGAAATGTAGGTAGGCTTGTAGCAAAAAAACCGTACTTCACTATTTTCCTTTTGCAATGAGAATGAGACATTCTTATGAATTTACTTGTCTGAAATACTTTGTACAATTTGTTTTGCGAACACAGATTGCTGGACTCTGCTATTATTTATTTCAAGAAAATCAAATTCGCAACTCGAAAATTAAATTCGCAACTCGAAAATTGAATTCACAACTCGAAAATAAAAATCGCAACTCGAAAATGAAATTCGAGTTGTGAATTTAAAATTCGAGTTGCGAATTTTATTTTCGAGTTGCGAATTTGATTCATTATAGTGTTCATTGTTCAAAGTTTAACCTGTTTATGTAGAGAAATATGAACTAGATTATGTCTGTAAGAACAATGAATCAGCTATGTCTGTAACATTATAGTGAATGAAAATAGAATCTTCGTAAGATAAAAATTCCATTAACATATATTTACTATTAGCAACTAAATCTAAGAAGTTTCTGAGTCATCAAGTAAAAATTTAGCACAGATTCATGTATGCATAATACAATGTTTGCATTTAAAAATCGAGAGAATCGCCTCAGTGACCAAAAAAAAGTTATAATATACGATTTTAACCAACTTTTTTTGGATTTGCCAAAATGACCAACAAAATCGCAACGCGAAATAAAAATCGCAACGCGATCCCCAGAATCGCAAATCAGTTTCCAAAATCGCAACGCGATTCTTGAAAATCGCGATGCGATAGTACAAATTCGCATTGCGATTTTCCATAATCGCAACGCGAATATGAAAATCGCAACGCGAACACATAAATCGCAACGCGTATCCGTAAATCGCAACGTGTATCCGTAAATCGCAACGCGTATGGGTAAATCGCAATGCGTATCCGTATATCGCAACGCGTATCCGTAAATCGCAACGCGTATCCGTAAACTGCAACGTGTATCCGTAAATCGCAACGCGTATCCGTAAATCGCAATGCGTATCCGTAAATCGCAACGCGTATCCGTAAATCGCAACGATAATCCGTAAATCGCAACGCGTATCCGTAAATCGCAACGATAATCCGTAAATCGCAACGAGAATCTGTAAATCGCAACGATAATCCGTAAATCGCAACGAGAATCTGTAAATCACAACACTTAAATTTTGGGTATATAACACTGAAATCATAAACTAAATCCCTAAATCGCAACTCATTCCATCTCCATCTATCACTCTCTCCGGCGACATCCGTTCCTATATCCAATGACATCCTTCCCAATCCGGCAACAGGTTTTAGTTTCGCAGCTCTGTTTAGTAAATTAATTACAACCATGAAATCATCTAATGTTGATCATGTTTGGATAGATTTGTTTTTGGAGGGTCATGGGATAATGTTCATGGTGTTTTACAATATATGCCTTTACCCATGAATCTTCAACTAAAATTGTCTTTACAAAAGTTAACTTATGAAACTCTAATGCTACGTGTTTCAATAAATTGAATTTAGAGCCCCTAAGTGGATTTAGGCTATCTTATCAGAGAAATGGTAAAGTTTATTTGTTAACCGACAATGAAGATGTTGAACGATTCATTGCTTACATTAGTGTTTCACAAGATGATGTTACATTGTATGTTGTTGAACCTAGAAGTAGTATTGTTGGGTCAGTAGCGGGTAGTAATCAACTAAGTTTTCTCAAAACCCACAACCTTTCTCTAATCCAAATCCCAATCACTTTCAGCACCAAATTCCGGTTTTCGTATTGACCAGTTAGACGATGATGAGCCAACGAAAAAATTGTGAGTACTAGTCAGTATTCGAAATTTGGTCTTGGTCAATATCCGGACTTTGATATTGGTCAATACACGGATTTTGATGATGTTTCAGAAGAAGAAACAGACCATGCGTGTAATGATATTGATATTGGTCAATACCCGAATTTTGATGATGAAACAGCCGTTGCCGAAGAATGTAATGTTGATGATAATGAGAGGAAGTTACGACTGTGAATGAACATGTTGAACATCCATTCTGTAATTCATATAATCCTGAAGAAGAAAAAGAAGAAGAAAAGTCCCCGAAGAAAAGAAAATGCCACGGGTAACTGGAATATGCCAGAATTACTTCAGATACCGGAAGAAGAGTTATAAGAAAGCAGTTGATTGTTACACAAAAGTTATTCGTATCAAGAAAGATGATTGTTTTGATACAAAGGAAGACTTGAAGATAGCTTTATATACGAAATGTGGAAGATGGCTATCAACTAAAGTTAACAATCAAGCAAAGATCGTTTCGAAACAAGGTGTATGATTGACAAAAACTGTACGTGGCGTATGATTGCAAAGAGAATAAAAGATTGCAAAATGTTTCAAGTTAGGACTTTTATTGATAAACATACATGTTCAAGAACCCAAGTTTTCCTCACCATAGACAGGCAAACAAAAGGTGTTGGGTGGTTTTCTGGCTGAGTTAATGTTTTTGAATGGCAGGGTATATCGGGGACATGAAATTATGACTGACATGAATGCTCGGTTCAAGATTAGTATATCATATTCTCAAGCTTGGAGAGCCAAATGTTATGCCTTGGAATTGTTGAGGGGGTCGCCAGAAGCATCGTTTGCCCAACTGCCGGCTTATTGTCACAATTTAAAGCTGAAAATCCTGGGTCGGTAACTCATATCAAAACAGATAGAGATGGACGCTTTGAGTTGCTGTTTATCGCCATTGGTGCTACGGTTAGTAAATCATATAATTTTGTTGACTCATTTTTGTTAGTTACATGCATTTCACATTTAAATGATTATATTTCTTGTGTATATTATTTTGTAGATTCGTTCGTTTATTACTTGCATGCGCCATTATTATAGTTGACGGAGCACATTTGAAAGGTCGATACCTTGGAGTAAACTTATTAGCAGTAGCCATGGATGCTAACAATGGGATATTGCCAATAGCTTACGGGGTTGGCAAATCTGAAACCTCTGATTCATGGACATGGTTTATGGGGCATCTTAGGGATTGCATAGGTCCTATTAGCAATCTGACAATCATATCCGATAGGGCAAACTCAATTGACAACGCTGTTAGAAGGTGTTTCCCAGATGCTTTTCATGGACTTTGTGGTGTTCATTTGTATAGAAATCTAAAATCAAGGTCTGCTGGTATAAAAAAGCACAAATGGACATACTGGAAGGCTGTAAAAGCTTATCGGGAAGTGGATTTCAATAAGCATATAAATTGTTTAAGACGTGTTTTGCCTCAGTGTGCTCAAACACTAGAAGATGTCGGGTTTGAAAGATGGTCAAGAGTACATCAACTTGGAGCAAGATATGGTTTCATGACGTCTAATAGTGCAGAATCAATCAACGCTCTAAGTCGTCATTCCCGGAAATTACCCATTACTATGTTAATGGAGTTTTTTCGAGCCTCTATTCAACAGTGGTACTACAAGAAAAGAAACCATGCAGGTATTATTTCTTTGAATTCGTAACTTATCATATTTATATATTTTACTAAGTATTGTTATTTAAATTTACAGGAACATTGGAACATCGTGTTACACCATGGACTGAAAAAAAGATAACGAAACGTGTTGTGAAGTCAACGTCATGGAGAGTTGAACCATGTTCAAACCTTTGTTTCAAGTACTGGATAATAACTTAAATGGGCTAGTCGATCTAAATGCAAAGACGTGTAGTTGTATGAAATGGCAAACATCTGGTTATCCGTGTGGCCATGTTATAAAAGTTGCTCTTCATTTAAACCAAGATGATTCAAGCGCATACGCTATGGATTGCTACACTACAGAAGTTTATCGACAGACTTATGCCGAGATTGTCTACCCTATTCCACATCCTTCTGAGTGGGACATACCAGATGACTTACAAACAGTTTTGCCACCAGCCATGGACGAAGGCTACCTGGCCGACCAAAAAGTCACGATCGTATACCGTCTAAGGGTGAAGAGAAGAAGAGATCGACATGTAGTCGGTGCAAGGAAAGTGGTCATACAAGGTTGACATGTGGATCACCAGTGCCATCAAAATCATCTTTTCCTCTACCAAAATATGGATCCTCATCAAAATCCAAAGCTCATATGGTGTCAAGCAAAGGCAATCATCTTTAAAATCCCAATCACGATTGGCTTCACCTTTTGAGACTGTTAACTTAGGTGATTTTTAAATGCAAACGTTGTATTATGTGGATTTTATGTGTGAACTTTTAACATTTTCAGTTGAATTAATGACTCAGGCCAACCATTTTGACTTAACCAACTCTTGTATTCAGTTGTTATCACTATTAGGCATGCATTTGACTATCGCAACACGGAAAATACAATCGCAACGCGAAATGAAAATCCCAACATGAAAATCGCAATGCGGAAATGAAAATCGCAACGAGAGAATCGCAATGCGAAATGAAAATCGCAATGCGAAATGAAAATCACAACGACAGAATCGCAATGCGAAATTAAAATCGCAATGCGAAATGAAAATCGCAATGCGAAATGAAAATCGCAATGCGAAATGAAAATCGCAATGCGAAATGAAAATCGCAATGCGAAATGAAAATCGCAACGAAAGAATCGCAATGCGAAATGAAAATCGCAATGCGAAATGAAAATCGCAACGAGATAATCGCAATGCGAAATTATAAACGCATTGCGATTTTCATTTCCGCATTGCGATTTTCATTTCGCATTGCGATTCTCTCGTTGCGATTTTCATTCGCATTGCGATTTTCATTTCGCATTGCGATAGTCATTTTTGCCTTCAACATAATGCAGATTGAAATCAACAAAATCAACCATTACATTTCAATCAATTAAACAAGCACAAATAAGAATTATGTTCGCATCAATTACACAAATCAACTTTTACAAATCATCTTTTACAAATCAATTAAACAATCAAAAAATAAGCAATAATTCTTATTTCCGATCATCTACTATTGAATCAACTTTTACAAATCAATTAAACAATCAAAAAACAATCAATTAAACTATTGAATCAA